CGATGAAGTAATGGACAGTATACTCCTGAGGGAGTAGAATATGTTTTTTGCATTTCCAAAACAACACCCATCCGCCACGGCCAGCCAAGTAAGACATTGTTTCTTGACTGTGATTATTTTATAAGTGATTTTATTTAAAGATGAAGTTTCTATAAGGCCTAGGTTTTATGAAAACAGAATAAAACGTCACGTCAAATCCTTATTCAGAAAATACTTTCAACAATAGAAATCTCCATTATGACTCTAAAATTAATTTTTAATTCCGAAAATAAAATTTAAAACTCAAAAAATGATATGGAATTTGTGATCATTAAACACTTACTTTTAAGACAAAATGGACGGCCTAAATAATTTGTTACAGTGTACATTATTTTTAAAACATTTTTCCTATGCTCAAATTGCAATATTCGATGAGTTAATGAGGTGGGGCCGAGGTATCAAACCCTTCTCCTTTATTTAATGCAACGTGGAATACAAGTCAATGGCTCCATTGGCATAAAAGTGATGAAAGATAAAGAAATGTACTGGATCATCCGACGTACCAAAATAGCAAAGCCCAACTGACCTTCACCTTCTCATATTACATCAACAGCTAACCTCTCTATCTCAACACTAATTTAATTCTTCTTTCTTAGAAGCCGGTGAGTATGGTCACCTACCTACCTCTCTCTCCCCAATTATTAAATCACTAACCCAAAGTGGTCTTGCACTAATTGGTCCGATGAATTAAAAAAACAGAATTTTTTATGTTATTTAGACCAAAATAATTTTTACAGTAGTCATTTAATCGTGAAAGGCATCATGGTAAGCTCAATGTTATGATGATCATGATGTTTTGAAGTATTACATGTGATGACTATAAGAAGTATCACAACACAAAGTATTGTAGTGGTCTATAATTCTATAACGACACCCAAAATATTGTGACGGCATTGGCGTGCAAGTTCTCCTTTATCTTGCCCCTGTTGCTGCCCTTTCTCTATCTAGAAAAGGCTTGCTAATAAAAAACACAATGGGAGAGAATATCAAAGGAGAAAGAACCTTGGGACTCAAAAACAAGTAGATGGTAGAGAGATCAGACTAAAAACAGGCAGAAATGGAAAGCTTCGTCATCTCTCCAAGCATCAGCTACCCTTCTTCGTCACACCTACACACATAGGTTCCTCTTCTCTCTAGCCCATCTTTTGTACTTTGATTTATGGTTGTCTTTCACTTGTCTCGTGTGCTCTCATGGGAGTAAGAGTGGCTCCAACGAGGAATTGCTAGTGAAATAGAATTGAAGATCATCACGGTAGTTCGGATACCATTTTAAAATTGAAAACCATCAAGACACGTTAAGTATTGTGATATTTTTCATGGTCGTCATGGTAGTTTGAGTACCGAAATGTCTCAAAACATCCTACCGTGATGCCTTCACGGTTATACGACTATAACCGACTACCGTGAAAACCATTTTGATCTAAATTCGTGAAAAATGAAGAAAAAATGTATAGATGAGGTTTAGAAAAATACGAGTTTTTTTTCTAATAAATCAAAAATTAAGATACATTTTTTATAAATTCTTTAAAAAAAAAAAAGTGGTGGGTTTGTTTAACCCTAAATCTTTCAAACCAACTTAGTTCGTTGTTAGTATATATTAGAAAACAAAAATTTTGAAAATGGTGAGTAAAATGGGGCATAAAATAATGATCACACAAAAAGATTTAGGAAGGTAATGAGTGGAATCAACGGTCTTCTTGTTTCTAAGTACAAACTTTACTATCAAAAATAATATTTGCCCTTTACTAATAAGAATCAATATATATTTAAGTTCTCCAAGTAAATTTTTTCTTGTTATACATAAAAAACAAAAGATTGAACATTATTTTGGATTGTTCAAATGCACAAATACATCAAGATCTAGAGTACTACAGTTGTCTTTCTCTAATAAGAGAAAAATAGCACATGAAAGTGGTGGGCCTGAAAACAATATTCAAAATTCAACTTCCAAAAAAGAAATTCATATTATGTATATAGAGAGAGAAAGTGACGATATATGACCTCACTGAGGGTATGGTTCTTAGTAGAGCAAAATGACAGGAATGGCGGACCAAGATTCATGTTATCGAACTCAGTTAGTTAAAAAAAAGCTTTGGTAATGATGATCATGATGATATAGAGAGAGACAATGCAATTACAACTTCACCCAATGTGATCATTAAATGCAGTTAAATGACATTGAATTGTGGCTCTTTGATTCCCAACCTTAACCGTCATAAAACAGCCCATCAGTTGCAACTTAACATGAAGGGTGTAGTTTTTATAAGGTTGCAACCTTAAACAATCCAATTATGGTGCACTTCCAAATTTTATTGTAACATGTAAATTTGATGTACAAAATTATTAGGATTATCTCAAAATCTATTTTCATTTCTTACAATAAAATTTTCGAATCCAGAAATGGTTAAAATCAAGTAGATCTATAAGCATATGAAAATCTTGAAAATAGATGGTCTAGACAATGTGTAGCAAGATGCACTAATTCTGAGCTGCAAAATCTTTTTTTTTTTTCAAATTCATATATCTCGATATCGAGATGATTAATTAGAAAGTTTTTCAACATTAAAATAACCTTTTTCCGATGGATTTTTAGGTGCATATGTAATCCTACATTTAAAAGGTTGCAACCTTATATAAACTTATTCCTAACATGAAACTAGATACGCGACCGTCACACTGATGAATGGAGGCTTTACGGCTTCCCAATGTTGAACTGTTGCAGCCAAACTGGCCATACGCCTAGGATCGTTTCTCAGCGTGTTTCACACTTATCCGTGCAACCAAACAGTGCATGGTGCACAGGTGAAAGTTCCACCATGCTAAATACCTAAAAAATTTCAATAACTACCTCAAAAATTTCAATAATCGAGGTTGTTTTGATGTCCAAATATCCTCAAATTGATCATCTCTACATGAAGATGTATGGACATGATAAAAAAATGGATTTCAAGTTTTGAAAATAGTGTATTTTGTAACACATTTTTTGACCGTCAATTTTCAAGATTTTCAAGTTTAATAGATGGGTGCAGTTAGCACATGAATGCATCCATAGCTATAGAGGCAAGATACACCTTCAAATTTTATCATGGTATATAATTTTGATGTAAAATGTTCTTAGGATTTTCTCAAAATCTATTTTTATATCTAATTATAAAATTTGAAAATTCAAAAATAGATAAAATCGAGTAGATCTATAAACATATGAAAATCTTGAAAATGGACGGTGTAGATAATATGTTGTAAAATGCACTATTTCTGAGACTTTAAATCTTTTTATTTTTCATGGTCATACATCTCGATCTCGAGATGATCAATCAAAGGGTTTTTCAGCATTAAAACTGTTAGCGAAAAATTGATGAAGCACGAGATCGTTGTATTTCTCCAACGGGTCTCTGATAAACGAAAGGGTTCCCTCATCTGCAACGGGTTTCTGAAGAGTTACGTTCATATTGATATGACCGTTGGACGAGGGGTTACGATTATATAGACGTTGGACTATATGACCATTGCATATATTGAATTTCCCACAAATGTAAGCTTAGACACGTAAAGCCTGATAGCCATACATGTCAATAAAAACTACCTTTTCCGATGGATTTTT